TAAAAAAAAAAAAAAAAAAAAAAACTAAACTTGCAAGCAGTACTCTCTTATAATCAACTTTTCAAGAGTGGTTTCAAAATTCATGGCAAGGTTGAAAAGCTAAAAATAAAAAATAAAAACAAAGAATTTAATTTAATTTAATTTTTTTTTTTTTTTTTTTTTTTAAATACTTGATTGACAATTCAAATGTTTATTTAAAATGAAATTCAGACAAAATTTGTGAAAGAAATAACAAACACAATTTTAAAAACAAATGGTTTGTAAACAATCATTCCACTTCTAAATTTCTGTATTTTTATTTTGTTATCTACGTCTTAAAAGTAATTTCACAATTCAAACCAAATTTTGAAAATGAAAAGATGATCTAAAAACTTGCAAGCTAATAATAAAATCATTATAATTATTATAAAAATAAAAACGTTATAGACGGGTCCTAATCAATCTTCCATTTACCATTAGATATACTGACCAAGCATATGATGAGCCTTGATATGCAGATGTTTCATTTATGGGAGTGAGAACCTTCGCACGTGCAGAGTCTTTCAGTCACGTTGCTGGTTCGTGGCTTTAAAAGACGAGACCAACCCACTGTTGCCGGTGGTTAGGTGGATCCTCAATCGAGCGTCCCAACTCAAATCCATACAACAATTATTTGCTACTAAAAAGCAATAGTGATCAAACACAATATACGTAACACACAGAAGCATTAACTCGAAAGGAAAGTCAAGACCGAAGCAGAGCTCACATATTGATCTCGCGATAGAAAAAGGCTTCAAACAATCCTTTGCTCCTCTGCTAGATACGAAGCGCTGCAGCTATAGAACCCGCAAGGCTAAGAATTTCAAAAGGAGCTTTATTCGCCACTTCTTTAACAGTCAATGGGCACGAATCAGTAATCCAGAAGTAGGTCAGCCCGTTCTCTGGATGCCCTGTAAATGACAGCAGCTTTGAGGAATGATAACCGACGATATACATGCAGGCAGCATTTGATTAATTATCAGTTCAAATTCTACTGTACTATCAAGTTTTAAAAATTGACTATTTTGGTCTCCTAAAATTTAAAAAACGACAAAACAAATGGACCAAAATAGCCACTTTTAAAAGACCAAAATAAATATTTTTAAAGTATTGGACAAAAATGAACCAGAGTTGAAGTTGAAGGTACAATGACCAAAACGAACTAAAACCTTAGTTACTTCATTTTCTCTACCACGACTAATCAATTCTACATGTTGCATGCCACAATACCACAGAGAGTTGCAATACGCAAAGCAAACATATAAGTACTAAAAATACAGATACCCTCAGAACCCTCGAGTTGATGTTGGAGTAAAGACTGGTCAATAAGGATATTTCAGTTGCTGATGGTTTCAAAATTTTTAAGATCAGATTGGTCTGGATATGTGCGAAGTGTGGGGATCAACCCAACTTTGTTGTCAATAATCTTCAATGTATTTTCAAAACTTTATGATTCTATTTCTGGCGGTTGGGCTTCGTGAAGGACAATTTTACTCCTCTCCCTTTTAGTTGGGGATTATGTGTTCCACACGCATATAATAAAATAGCAGTGTATCAATATAAAGCTAATAATAGAGCAAACAATACCTCCATTATCATGTTTAAAGCGTTGCCACGATCTATTTGGAAAAATCCCGTGTGTTACGTAAGCACTGATTTTTGCTGCTCCATGTGCAGCCAACACTTTCTAGAATGAGAAGAGAGTAAATGCGCATTCCATAATATATCTTCAATAAGAGATTCAAACGCAAGTATTTAGTTACCTGACACTCTATTAGAGTTCCACCTGATTGAACCAAATCATCAACAATCACAACATGCCGTCCTTTTGGATCTCCCTCCTTTAGGCGCACAATACGTTGTTCTCCTTCCCGAACTTTGGCACACACAATCTAAAATATCAACAAGATCATCGTGCAATCAGCAGAACTTAAAACAAGGTTTAGCATTGCAGAATATAGATTATTGTGCAATGTTCCTCGTGGAAAATATATCCTGGAGGGCACAGTTGAAATTATATGTTTGTCTAGACCATAATTTATTTTCCTTGCTTGTTTGAGTATGTGTTGGAGTACGGAATATAACAGATGGCCAGAAGGGAGTTCAAAGCAGTTATTCAAGGCTGTAGGTCCAAAACGCACCAAAGATCCCGGGTCCAGGCCTTGGTGTGGATGCCCCCGGTATGGGGAAGGAGCCAAGCTCCCACTCCTGGTTATCCAAAAAGTAGGATAGTTGAACTTATAATAGAGAACGACATGTTGTCTATCAAAGGTTTTTTGGAAGTGGGAATACAAAAGATGTGAATAATCAGGTCATCTTTTTTTTGCTTCCCTTCTTTTAACTAACTGTTTACGAGTGTTAACCCATTATCTACCAGAAAAATTAAATGGCTCTATCCAGACCTCGTGATTAGAAATATACATTTAGCCTATCACACTAGGGTACTCCAGTCGCTACTGACCACAATACCAGTCTAATCAATAAAATATATATATATGCAATGATTGATCAATAAAAACAACATATTAAAACCAAAGAAATGAGTTAAAAAAGTATCTTACTATAAAAAGATTTTTAAAACTTGGCCTTCAGAATTCATACCAAAGATTTATCAATAAAAACACCCAAATAATTATAACGAAGAAAAAAAGATATATTTTCTTTTTGAATCAATTAGAAAAAAAAATATCAAGATATCTTTTCTTTTCTTTTCTCTATCTCTCCCTTTATTTTGTCTTCAAACAAACTGCCATCTAAGTCTGAATTTAAGCCATCATGAGTTTAATTCAATTAGTTAAGACACATACACTCAACTAAAAGATCAGTTTGAATCTCTATACCTCATGTTGAACTCAAAAAAAGAACAAGGCTACTTTCAATACAAGAAACAATTTTAAGACTTATATTCGCATTGTAATTTAAGTCCTTGGCATATCTTGTTTATTCACTACGACATTTTCAAGATCACCTATGAAGCCAATTACATAAAATTTGAAGAGGTTCAGAGGCTACTGAGCATTATGGTAAACCTCTAAGAAATTGCCCACAGATAAAAGGGTGTAGAATCCGGAGCAATCAGTGGACTGCTCTGTGAAATATTTACTTCAGCAGTTTGTGGACAAATCAGAGACTACTGAGGAACATTCTGAAGGTTATTTGGAAAGACAAAATGCCAAAGAAAACGAAGTCCTCATGGACATTACTCCTTGGAGTTAATCCAAGCGAGGTTATTAAAAAAATATCAGGAAGATGATGTCAAATTCCAATTGGTCCCAGCCTTGTTTCAAGTAAACTCAATTCAGTTCTTACTGCTTGAATGTCTGTTCAGGGAGTTCAGAATGAGCTATTGGATATCTGAATGCCCAAGCCAATATCCTACAGACTGTGTGGAGATCGATTGAGAGAACATGCAAGAAATTGTATGGGTGAATGAAGTTGGTGCACTTTTGTGGAAGCTATGGCTTGAGCGAAGTAATAGAACTTTTGTGGGAAAAGGAAGGGAATGGAGGAATTATGGGCGTTGACAAAACTCATTGCTACAAAATGGTATTCTCTATAGCGAAACCTTTTTGTTCACCCACCAAGCGTAATTAGCAAATTTTGGAGTAATTTTTTGAGTGTTTACAAGATAGGGATATAATTTTTTGAGAGCTCATAAGATAGGGGTATATTTTGCTTCCCCTATTGTATTTTTCATAAATCAATGAAAGTTTCCTATTGTGGAAAATAAATGTTAAATAGACAGCTGAACTAAATTCTGGTTCACATATTCAAACAGGCCCTTCAAATAAAAGCTACATTTCACATGATCATCCAAAGTTTAGCTCATCTTGCAAATATGACTTGCAGTGTTTATAGTACATGCAATGTATCTATATATTAAATAAATCATGCTAAATCTATGATATAATTCCCATCATCAAATTTGCTCACTACTCATGCTTGTGAATCTAAAACTCATACTTGCAAACAAATGACTAGAAATAAAACAACTTGCATTTTCATGCAAATATCTACTTAAATCATTTAAGCTATCAAAAACCAATTCTTTTAAATGTTTTTAAAATATGACGATGTTCCTGAAACAACAATTAGTTCTAGGAATCTTAGGTCCCTCCTGAAATAGACACCAATCCCAGGGATAACAAGAGCATAAAGATAAGTTGCATAACTAAATAATTTGAAGCCATGAGTCAAAAGCTATCCACTAGTAATAGCTCAATTTTCCAGACATCAAGATTTACGAGGTCATATATTGTCTCATGAGATTAGTCACAATACACCAAAGTAATTCAAAATGCCTATGTTTTAAGAAATCTTCATCTCTAGGTATTCCCAATTTTGACTTCATCTCTATGTTTTAAGAAATCTGTCTCATGAGATTAGTCACGATACACAAAACTAACTCAAAATGCCTATGTTTTAATAAATCTTCCTAATTGACTTCCTATTATATAATTGTATTTCTTTGATTTTTGAGTCCACCCCTTTCATCCAAAATTTCCATTAATGTTTTAAGTTCATATAAAAACTTCTATCCTCACTATCCCAAACTTTCTAGCTTGAAGCATATGAAAATCACTCCACAGTTGGTTAGGTTCAACTCTGCTGCTAGAAAAATTTGTCACAATCTTAGTGAAACTTAGTATTGTGCAATTTTACTGTGGCAATTGTGAAAAACCATAAGCATATTAGGGCTAGCATAACTTAATACTTCTATAAATATTAAATCCATTACGTGATTATTTAATGGCCGTTCTGTTTTCTAAACAAGGACTCATTTTATTCACCTTGAGAAAGATTTCTACAATGTACTTCTCGTATTTCCTCTAATACAATCTTGACTCCAGAACTTGCTAATGTGGAGAATCGGATATTAACTAAATTGATTGCTAACCAGTTGAAATTACCTGCAAAAATAAGTCCTAAAAACTAAAAGTAACTTATTCAGCTATCTGAGCAGTGGAGAGCCTGTTACACTTGATCTCCTTGTTTACTGATATCCATTATGGGCCTCACACAGTCAATCATATTCTCTCATGACAAGGAAGATCATTGACTTTTTCTGAATGAAAGTTTGGCTTCTCATAAAATATATACATATATAATCTATTTACCGTAGGAAAATGCTGCAGCTGCTTATGAAATCTTTTCCATGCTCCATCATCAGGAAAAGCAATTGCTACCTAGAAAGCAGAAAATTCTGTCACTTCAATGAGATAGATACTACGAAGTAAGTCTATTAAACAATTCTACTGCAAAATTCTAGAACGATCTTATCTCATATTGCAGTTTGAGACAAATATTAAAAAATCAAGAACGATCTAAAATAAACTTCTATGAAAACATCCACAATCGTATCAACGTAAGCTATAAATGAACACATAGGAAGAAACAATAGTACATAGAAGACAAGAGCTTACATTGTCAGAATCTGGCAACTGCTGCAATCTATTCTTTAGCAAAGGAATTCCACTTTCAAAGCATGGTAAAATATTGTCCCCAAAGTAAAACCTCTCCTGATGAAAAATAGCAAGAAGTGCTTAATAAGACAGCCACCGAAGAGGAAAACACACTAAAAAAGGTGACGAAGAATTCTTATAGGAAAGATCTGCTAAAAAGGAAAGTTCTGATCATTTTATACTTATAGATAGTAGCTATTGAACCTGCAAGGCATGAATGTCAAAAGTCACAAGGCTCGTCGGTCCTCCTCTTGAAATTGGTATATTCGATAGGATCCGCGCAAGAGTAAAAGCAGTTGCAACATCTCCTTCATCCTCCATGCGCTCAAAAGTTCCAGTTGGAAAGAAGGGAAGAACAAGCGTAAATGAAGAGATGAACAATTTCGGCAGAGCATAAATAACGGAGAGTTGCTCAAAGATTACAGTTGGTGAACTGAAGGATGCAAGAAAAGCCACATGCTGTCCACGAATTCCTTGTGCATTAGGTATAAATATGTTCGGAAATCCATCCTCAAACTTCCTAACATAAGAACGTAGTAAGCATTAATCCAAAGAATTTCTAATTTTGAAGAAATTTTAATTAGAACGAATACACGTAGAAATTAGAAACTTAAACAGCTTGTGTTTATCATGCTTTAATCAATGATGAGAGGCACGTAAATACATTTTCCACCAGCAGAATACGCAATATTGTTTTGAAGTGAAAATGCTGTAAGTTCGAAAACACAGGAGAGTTTCCAAAATCTCAACAACTCGACACTGTGATCAGGAGCAATACAATCTCAACAGCTGCATATGCGGTGAAATTTTGAGGTCAGAAATGAGAACTCTCAATTGAAAGCACATCTATACATTCTCGATCATCACAGCGATAAGCCGTAGTCAGAATTAAAAATACTGCAACGATTAGAAAACTATCCAATGAAGCTTCTCCTAGATATTTCCTACATTATGGCTAAAATAATCTAACTAACCTCCATGAGATATTACGTAGCTCAATTCCATCAGACTCAGCGGCGATTTTCTCCGCGAGAATCTTCGTCTCCGCGCAGAAAAATAGGCAGATCTTCTTGGCGTCGCTTTTAGAAGTCAATTCCAGACCGGCGGCGGCGACCGAGGCAGCAGCCATTGGTACGGAGGACGAAGTAGAAGCAGAATTTTGAATTGAGGAAAAAGGATCAGTACCAGGAACGCTTTCGATAGTCCACGGATAAGGATTCTCGAAATTCTTGATCTCGCACGCAATGCGGTTCTTTATCTTTGAACATCCGATGGCGTATGTTCTAGAAAGTATTACCGACGACGAACTTCGAGAGGATTCGACGCGTGTGTTAGGGCTTTTGAACAGAATTAGAAGAGAGCGGTTTGCCGCCATATGGCCGATGTGACTCTCGCGACTGGCGCCGTTTTATGCTGCACTTGGTTGCCTCTATAACCGTATAAAGTCTATTCCGGTTGCTGGTGCCAGGAATAGCATGCAGTCAAAAATACCCCCGGGCATATAAAAGCGCGCGTTGTTCTGCTGGGTAAAAATGTAAATATCGCAAACGACGTCGTTTTAACCTCAGTATGTTTGCAGAGCGGATTTCCCGAGGCCGGCTGCATTTTGCCCTTCCCTGTCATTTCACTCATTTCCCAATCCATTAATTTATTTTTAGACACTAAAAAAATGGAAAAGGACAGTGAATTAGTTTATTAATAAATTATTGGAACTTTCCGACGTGTTTATTTGGTAACTTTTAAATAATCTTTTATAAATTCCAAATTTTAAAACAATAATTGATCCAGATATAAATTCAGAATTTTATTTATATGTTTATTAGTTATATAAATTTAAAAAATATATATATAGGTTGAATAAACCAAATACTAATTAGATACCAAATTAAAAAAAGTTGTTGAAAATTTATTTAGATAAAATATTTTTTTAGAAAATACAATTGTAACACAAATAGAAATGTAATCAAATACATAAAATTTAATTTTGTAAATGATGTTAGACAATATGTTTTAAATTGATAATATAAACATACTTTGGGCAAACGAATGGATTATAGATTGGCATACCTTAAATTGACAAGTTGGACATCAGATGTTCATTCAAAGTTAATGTCGATATCGATATCAATATCAAATTTTCAATGTTTTACCATAAAAAGATGTAATCATAATAAACCACAAAATTCAAATTAAAAGTTAATACCATAACTTCATACTTTAATGCTATTTTATGAAGGAAAAAAAAAAACAAAAGAATATTTAAATTTTGATACAGTATTTATTTTAAAGATCATGAAGATTATAGAATTTGATTTTTGTGTGTTGAAAAGAAACACCCGCCACTACTTGCCGATTTCATTGGGCGAATAAGACCATGAGCCAACGTAACAGAACCGCCAAATTTCTGGACTCTTATCAAAACTGAAGTTTCTGCATGAAGCTGCGCCACACTTTTGGTGCATCAGCTTTATCTCTTTTAAGGCAAAAATCCACATTCCAAATTTCAGTGGCTCTGCTGCATCGTTTCGTTCACAATCTCATTGCCAACAAAAACTGAGCCACCCCTGCTCCCAATTCTGTGTCACTCATTCACGAGTTCCACTACCTTCTGCAGCGCTTGCCTCGAACAAATCAAGTTCTTTTTCTTCCCCTTGCAAACACTTGAATCAAATTTTTCTCTATTTGGGAGTGTTTCGCTTCCCATTTTCTGTAGATTATCTTCTTTGCATGTTTATTGTGTAGTTTGTTAATTGTATATTGATTTCTTCCTCGTTTATGTGAATACCCAAATCAAAAGAGCTATAAGCTTTTTGGTCTGTCCTTTGCATACACAAAACTCAAATGCTTAATCTAAATCTCAAGTTGATAGGTTTGGAGTTTTTTGGTCTTCTTTTTGTGTGTGTATTCCCAATAGTAACCCGATGAAACTTGATAACCTGTGATTTCTGTCATTTGGTTTCTCATTTATCTTACCTCTCTAAAATTCAGGTTCCGGGCAGATTGTGTTTAGTTGGAGTAATAGCTACTAGAGATTAAGAAAATCATCATGTCACAGAAGGCACTAGACTACGAGTCGATTAATGAAAATGTGAAAAAGGCTCAGTATGCTGTGAGAGGAGAATTGTATCTGCGAGCTTCTGAGCTTCAAAAAGAAGGGAAAAGGGTATGCTTTGATTGTTTAAGGAGTTTGGTTAATTGGTTATGTTTCACCTTTGATCAATACTTTTGTCCTGCAATAAGTTTTTGGAATAAACTTGGCATTTATCTCCGCATCAGTATGATCTTGTCCATTTTAGATATAAGCTCTTACGTATTTACTTTTGGTTTCACCCAAAAGGCTTTATACGAATGGAGATATTGTATCCTACTTATATTATGAGATCCCACATCGGTTGGAGAGAGGAACGAAGCATTCTTTATAAGGGTGTGGAAACCTCTCCCTAACAGATGTGTTTTAAAATCGTGAGGCTGAGAGCGATACGTAATGAGCTAAAGTGGACAATATCTACCAGCGGTGAGCTTGGCCTTGAACTTGGGCTGTTACATATATACTCATGCTCTTCCTGTTATATAGCCAAGCGGGACTTTGGTGGCACTTTCAACTCGCACCCTTGCTATCTCTTCTTTCAGTCTCATTCAGTGCAATTTTTCTGGCCCAAAAATTCCTATTGCTCATAGTTTCAAAATTTTCTGCAGATCATTTTCACAAATGTTGGGAATCCTCATGCTCTTGGACAGAAGCCATTGACTTTTCCACGTCAGGTCTGTTACTACAGTCACTTTCATTTGTTGCAGTTTGATCTTTTTTTTGTGAGTTGAATTACAAGTTTAGTTCATCAACTTTCAAGAACGAACTTAGAAGTGTCTAGTAGATGCCAAAACTTTTAAATTTTATGTCTAATAGACCTCCGACTTTAGAAGTGTTTAATAAACCTTTGAACCAATAATTTTGTATCCAATAGGTCATTGAAAGTTGAAGGACTTATTAAACATTCTATCAAAGTTCAGTGACTAAAGTCACAGACATAAAAGTTCATAAACTAGACTTGTAATTTGGGACCAAAGTCAACTCCGGTCCCTATGGGTCACCATAAATACTACCTAACCCTTGCTTCTACAGGTTGTTGCTCTTTGTCAAGCTCCCTTTCTGTTGGAAGATCCTAATGTAGGATTATTATTTCCTGCTGATGCTATTGCAAGAGCCAAAAGTTATCTCTCGCTGATTCCGGGAGGGCTAGGTAATTGGCTAATTCAATTTCACAAGTTAGAGTGATTCTGGACTAATCGTTGAACGATCTTGCCGGTGAGGAGGGGTGTCGTGAAATCATATAAGCAAAGACAGCTTTAGTTTCAAATGCTATTTTCTATAGTAATTTCACCTTTGGTACATTCAAATTCCTTACCACCACAAAAATCTTACATTCCTCATTTTCCTTTTATTTACTGCATGGAACTTGGAAGTACAACTGATTGAGAAAGTTCTGAAGTTGGTTTCATAGAAGTTAGGACCTTCAAGAAGCTACATGCAACTGATTGGCATTTAATACTTCTAGGTGCTTACAGCGATTCTCGAGGACTTCCTGCAATTAGGAAGGAAGTAGCAGACTTTATAGGAAAGCGAGATGGCTATCCAAGGTGATATTGATGATATCTCTATAATTTTTAAAGCGTTTAGAAAGTCATTTCAAACATGCCCGACCTTAAAATCCTTATTCTTCTTTGCTGTCATGACAGCGATCCAGAACTCATATACCTCACCGACGGTGCTAGTAAAGGTGTAATGCAGATATTGAACACTATTATCCGTGGTGAAGGGGATGGGGTACTATTTCTTGACTGACCATGACCATTTGATTGCTTTTTCTTGCAAAATATGTTACTTGAATAGCTTTTCCCCCCATTCTCTTCATCCTCTGTCTTCATGTTAAGCTTAAATTGATGCTTTATCAGATTTTGGTCCCGGTTCCACAATACCCTCTTTACTCGGCTACAATAGCACTGTTTGGGGGCTCTCTTGTTCCATACTACCTAGAAGAGACTGAAAATTGGGGTCTTGACATTAACGACCTTCGCCAATCAGTTGCTCAGGCTCGCTCCAAAGGAATTAATGTTAGTATATTTACCATATTTGTTGGTGAAAGCGAAATCCTGTATGCAGTTTTTCCATAAAAACATGAAACCAAGAATATAACTTTTTGGTTTTTGAATCTAGAAACCGAGGTATCTTAGTCGATCCTTGCATACATGGCTCGGTAGACATTTATGTTTGAGTGTGTTTATATCTTCAGGCCAAAGTCATACCGATAACTCGTGTCTTATATGTTGGTTTCTGGTCAGGTAAGAGCAATGGTGATTATAAATCCTGGCAACCCCACTGGGCAATGTCTTAGTGAAGCAAATCTGAGAGAGATTCTGAACTTCTGTTTCCAAGAAAATTTGGTCTTACTTGGAGATGAGGTGTATCAGCAAAACGTATACCAGGATGAACGGCCCTTCATTAGTTCGAGAAAGGTAAAATCGTCATGTTTGAGCCTCTCAACATTTTCTTTTCAGTTCAGTTTTCAACTCGATGATATGATATGTTGTATCTCTCAGGTATTACTAGATATGGGTCCACCTATTAGCAAGGAACTGCAGCTTATTTCTTTTCACACCGTGTCGAAAGGATATTGGGGAGAATGTGGACAGCGGGGTGGATACTTCGAGATGACCAACATTCCTCCAAAGGTTTGATTACTTAATAAGATTACCATTCAATTTCATTACTTTCCATCCAGCATTTTTATGATACTTGTGTAACATTGAACCGTCGATGATGCAGACGGTCGATGAAATATATAAGGTTGCTTCTATATCACTCAGTCCAAACGTTCCTGCTCAGATATTTGTGAGTCAACTCAATGTGTTATATGTTTGATCTTAACCTTTAGATTTGGCTTGCCTGAATTCTCTCATATGGAAAGTTGCTTTCTTTATTTGCAGATGGGGTTGATGGTCAACCCACCCAAGCCTGGTGATATCTCTTATGATCATTATTCTAGGGAAAGGTATGGCTAGCATCACATCCTCCTCTTAATGGCTGTCTGGTTTCTTCTTATGATCATTTATCATTTTTGGGATTGTAGCAAGGGGATCCTTGAATCACTGAGGAGAAGGGCAAGAATAATGACTGATGGATTCAATAGCTGTAAAAATGTAGTCTGCAATTTCACAGAAGGTAAACTGTTTTTTGTTAGAATGTTTCATTTTTTTTACTCTTCCCTCTCAAAATTCTATTGCTATGATATTAGATTAAAAAGACTGAGAGTATTTGTTAACAGGTGCCATGTATTCATTCCCACAAATACGCCTCCCGCCGAGAGCGATCGAGGCTGCGAAACAGTTGGGAAAAGTTCCTGATGTTTTATACTGCCTCAAGCTCTTAGAAGCCACTGGAATCTCCACTGTTCCAGGCTCAGGTTTTGGGCAGAAAGAAGGGTAATTATATCATATAATAGTCTCTCTATTTAACAAGGTGTTTTCTTGTATCTTGGTCATTGGCATTGGCTGATTTTTACTTGCAGGGTGTTCCATTTGAGGACAACCATCTTACCTGCTGAGGAAGACATGCCTGAGATCATGGCAAGCTTCAAGAAGTTCAATGATTCATTCATGGAGGAATACGAAGGGCGTTAATCAAGGGCGTGATCGGATCGGCTTCGAATTCACTATGTACTACTCTCTATGGATAATGTAAACTGCAAAGCTTCTGCAAGCATACATAATATCTAACCTTATTATGAGAACTCAATTATTCTATGGGATTGGATGTCATGTTTTACACTGGCTTTTGAATTTTGAAATTGGATTGAACTTTGTTCAAATCTGAAAGGTGAGGAATATGGAATACTGGATAAGGAAGAAAAAGCAGCTTTTGGTAAACTCCTTTGCGGAGCACTGGGAAGAAACCTACAAATTCCAAGATTCCTTCGGCTTGAGAATAACTCACCTTGAAAATTGGAGCTCTTTAGTTTGAATTTTTCTGGGTTTTTTTTCTTTTTTTTCTTTTTTCTTTTCTTTTCTTTTTCCCCAAATATCTATATAATTGTTTTGTTTTATTGTTAGGTAAATAACTTGCTTGCACTGTTTCTGCAAATTTCACTACTTTTCATATAGCTGTGTAATTTAAACTCTACACTTGAATGGGTGATTCATTTATTAGGTTAAAAGTTTTTGTGTTTGATATATTTAATTTGTTGAGTTCTTGTGACATCCCATATTAGTTGGGGGAGAACAAACCACCCTTGTGGAAACCTTACCCTAACAGATGCATTTTAAAGTCTCGAGGGAAAGCCTGAAAGGGAAAGCCCAAAGAGGACAATAGCTGCTAGCGGTGGATCTGGGGCGTTACAAATGGTATCAGAGCCAGACACCGGACGATGTGTTAGCCTTCTTGCTGGTCTCCGAAAGGGGGTAGACACGAGGTGGTGTGCCAGTAAGGATTTGGGGGTGGTCCCACATTGATTGGAGGGAAGAGAGTGCCAACGAGTACACTGGGCCCCGAAGGGGTGGATTGTGATGTCCCACATTGGTTGGGGAGGAGAACAAACCACCATTTATAAGAGTGTGGAAACCTTTCCCTAGTAGACGCATTTTAAAGCCTTGAGGAGAAGTCCAAAAAAGACAATATCTGCTAGCGGTGGATTTGGGGCGTTACAGTTCTTTTTCTATATCTGATTGATTGTGTAACAACCTCATAGCAAATTAATGAACTTTGGTGTTTAGTATGAATGAGACTTTTTCTATATCTGATTGATTGTGTAACAACCTCATAGCGAATTAATGAGTTTTGGTGTTTTGTTAATTAAATGAGCTTTGGTGTTTAGCATGAATGAGACACGTAATAATTATTATTTAAATTTTAATGGGTAAAATTTGTTAAGGATTATTGGGAAGGAGTCTCACTTTGACTGATTTAAAAAATGATAATGAGTTTATAAGCAAGGAATATATCTTTACTGGCATGTGGTCTTTTAAGAAACCAAAAACAAAGTCAGAAGTAGACAATATCATACAAAGAAATTGAAATTAACAAATATTCCTAATCTAATTGAAATTTAAGCGCCAAAATTTGAAGTCAACTACGGCTACCCGGGTCAGCTTCGGTTGATTGGAAGTTCATGGAGTTTCCCCTCTCTCCCACTCTGGGCAGGGAATCTATTAAAGCATGTATCTAAATTTCGCATTGTCACTATTCCTTCCCTTTTACTCCCAAAATTTCTCACTGTTTCTTGATTCCTAGAGAAAAGGGAAAAGAAAAGAGGAAAAACTCCTCTTTAGCTGCAACAAACGCAACGCAAAGCAAATTAGGCCAAAGTCACTTTCCATATTCTCCTTTGCAAATCCTCGGCACCACCAACTTTGATCATTTAATTTTGTTTATTCCTCTGCTTTTATCCATCCAAGCCAATCCCCTCTTTATTCCCTTATTCCCCCCCTCTATATTACTTCCCTACATCTCTCTCCTTCCCCCACCACCCCCAAAACTAATGGGATTTTCAGAGAATTTCCAAGACCATATGGGCTTCCAATTCGATCCCAGAAAATGGGTCATCACGGGAATTCAGTCACGACCTCCTCTTGTGCCTATTTACACGAATCTCATTCACAAAGAACTCGATCACTGTGACACAGAAGACCAACCGCCGACGCCGACAGGAGACGACTGTCGGATCCGGTCCGGTTCAAAATGCCCGCCCGCCCCCAAGAAGCGAAAATCTTCTATGAAATTCAACCATGGGAATGTGAGGCAGTTCTTCAAGCCTCCGGATTTAGAGGTTGTCTTTAGTCGACATGTCGAGAGGGCTAATTGATCAAGCTTTTGTTTCTTAACTTTAGCTATTGGCTTGCTTTTGTTTCATCGTGATCTTTCATATTAGCTCTTTTTGTTGTTTTTTTAGTTGATGCATTGTACAGAGATGTTTTCTGTTGTTCATGTGGACTCACAAATCTCAGAGATGGAACAAAATTTTTTGAACTTAGAATTTTTGCTTTCGACATTTTAAGTTCTCTTCTCTATTTTTTTATTCTGAACTTTTAACTTTTTAAATTTGCTTCCTTCTACCTTCATTTTGTTTTTCGAGGTAGCTATGAGGGTATGGACTAACAAGTTCATAATTTTAAACTATAAAGGTCAAAGACCTTTCAACAAATGAATATTAGACATATAAATACAACAATAATAACTAAAATAATTCATTTTGAAAATAAAAAATATTTTCCCTCTTTACAGTCTCCAATATAGTTTACTTTTGATTCTTAAAGGTCAGAATTTTACACTTTTTCTCTTAAATTTTGGGTTTAATTTTCATTTGGTCACAAAATTTTAAAATTTTATATTTTTTTCTCGAGTTTCGAGGAGTTTTGAGTTTAGTTTTAACATGTTTTAAGATTTTACATATTTATATTGCTTGCATTTTTATTTCTATGACGATATTCTAGGAACGTTATGTCCTTCCTCCAGAAATAGACCCCAATCCTCAATAACAAAAGGATAACAGCAGAAATATAATAGACGTACCGTAGGAAAATGCTGCAGCTATTTATGAAGTCCTTGCCATACTCCATCGTCCGGTAAAGCAATTGCTATCTGGAAAGTAGCAAATTCTGTCATGACAGAGAGAGATTACAAACTAAAATATATTCGACAATTGCACTACAAAAGTCTAGATTAACCTTAGCTCACAATGCAACTTTGAGAGAAATATTCAAAAATAACTCTAGCATTCCATATTAAAGATTTCGGTGGAGCTTACTGCTATCAAATATTGTCTTAGTTGAACTTTTTTCTTCAGACTCCTCCTTAAAGTTTTTGAAATACGTCGAATAGGGAGAGGTTTTCACACTCTTATTAAACGATCTTTTGTTTTCCTCCTCAACCAATGTGAGGTCTCACAATCCACTCCCTTTGGGGCCAGCGTCCTCGCTCGCCCTCGTTCTTTTCTCCAATCAATGTGAAATCCTCAATCCACCTCCCTTCAGAGCCTATCGTCTTTGCTGGCACACCGCCTCATATTTATCCCTTTGGGGCTCAACCTCCTTGCTAGCACATCGCTCTATGTTTGGCTCTGATATCATTTATAATAGTTGAAGTCCACCACTAATAGATGTTGTGTCGGTTGGACTTTCCTTCTCACAATTACATCACATGCCTTGTTTATGAACACGAGAGCTTACATGGTCACAATCTGGCAACTGCTGCACACTATTTTGTAGCAGGAATTCCACTTCAAAGGATGGTAAAGTATTGTCACCCAAGTAAAGCCTCTGCTACAAAAAAAATAATAATAATAATAATAACAGCCACTAAAGAGGAGGAAAAACTCAAAAAAGTGAGGGATTCTAATAGGCAGAGCAAGTTATCTTCTAAAAAGTAAAGTTCTGCTTGTTAATGAATCTGCATCATGAATGTCAAAAGGTACACAGTTAGTCGGCCCTCCTCTCCAAATTGATATATATAATCGAGATTCGAGCAATAGTAAAAGCTTAGTCAAAATTTCCTGTTGGAAAGATGGAGAGAACAGGCGTCAATGAAGAGACGAACAATTTCAGCAGTGCATAAATAAGGGAGAGTTGCTCAAAGTTCACACAGGGGAACTTAAGGATGCCAGAAAGGCAACATGTTGTTCACGAATTCCTTTAGCATTGGACATAATTATGTTCGTAATCCATCTTCAAACTTCCTAATATAAGAACTGTGCAAGCATTAGTCCAAAGGACTTTTGATTTTGAATGAACTTTTGTGAAACTCGAACAGCTTATGTTTATCATGCTTGAATTAAAGGCAGAATACGCAATGTTGTTTCGCAGTGAAAAATGCTATAAACTTAAAAACATTGGAGAACTTTCAAAATTTCAACAATTCGACATTGCGATCAGGAACACAAATAACTTCACCGGGCTGACCTACGCAGCAATACAATCTTAATCGTTCTTTCTGCGGGGACATTTTGAAGTCTCAAATGGAAACCATAAATTGAAAGCATATTAAAAACTTCTGGATCATAAATTGAAAGCATATTCCTACAGATTTCTTCACAATATAGCTACATAATTGAACTAACCTCCATAAGCCATCACGTGGCTCAATTCCATCAGACTCGGCAGATATTTTCTGCGAAGAATCTTCGTCTCGCCTGGCAGAACAAGAGGCAGATCTTCTTGGCGTCGGTTTTAGGCGTCAGTTCTAGAGAGGCAGTAGTCGTCGGTATCGAGATCGAAGTAGAAGCAGATTTTTGAATTGAACAGAAAGAATCAGTCCCAGGAACGCTTTCAACAGTCCACTGAAAAGAATTCTCGATGTTCTTGATCTCGCACGCAATGAACTGCAGGAGGACTTGACGGATGTGTTTGGGTTTTAGAACGGAAAAAGAAGGTAGCGATTTGCCGGGATGCGACTCTCTCGATTGGCGCTGATTTTTGCTGCATTTGGATGGCTCTCTAACTGTGAGGTAAATGGAGCTGAGATGGATTATATTTACGCAGTAATATTTTTTTAAAAAAAAATTAATTAATTAATTTTGAAGTCTAATTTTAATATTTACTTTAAATGGTTAAAAGTTATATTTAAAATTTGAAATTTGTATAAATTATGTTAGTAGACTTTATATATATTTATTTATGAAATATTAAGATTTTTAAAATATTTTTTTAATAAAATGTATTTTTTTAAAATAATAATCTGGTAAAAATTAACGGTCGAGAATTGGAGAATCCATCTCGACAAATTCTCTGTTGGATTCCCTACCTAGATCTCCACAAAAAGAAAAAAAAAGTGGAGAATTTAACTAGAATGAGAATGAAATAGGGGACAGAGAAGCTTTGACCGACCCCGTAAACATCTCTACTCTCTTTTACAATCGTGTGTTTCTTTTTATATTCTTAAACAATGACGTTTTAACCTTCGTAACTGACACTAGAGAACTCTCGAGCCATCAGTTATTTTATCCTTCTACGACAAGTTAAATTGCAATAAATAAATAAATATATATATATATATATATATATATTTTTCATTAATTTTTTTAGAATTTTGGAGGCAAATTGAGACATATACCTATGATCGAAATTAGGGCGACAAATCTTAATTTTCATTTGGATTCATAAACATATCATTTAATTTTTAAAAATAAATATTTAAATGGTAATCCAAGTTTTTTAACGAACATCATATTTATCCATTATCCATTATTCATTAATATATAGTTGAAAAAATTATAAAAGACAGAATTTGAACATCAACATTAGAAAAGAATAATTTTTAAATATGAAATACCATTTTTTTCATATTAAACATATATTGGTTTTGGACATCACATCTCATGTCAACAATGATGTAGTCAGCAACATAACTGAAAAAACACTTGATAAAGATATTTTAAGGGTGCATTTCATTTTGTCAGGTTTCTCAAGGGCTTAAATCACAATCAATTTTCTGCATTACAAAAAACGCCGACCACTACTTGCCGATTGAGCCAAGGAAACACAGCCACCGAAATTCCGCAGCCCATCAAAAACTAGACGTTCTGTACAAAGCTGCGCCACATTTTAGTAGTTGCAAGAACTTTATCTAAATTTCAGTGGCTCTGATGCATCCTTACGTTCAATTTGGTTGCCACATAAGGCCCCCTTCCCAATATCCATCTTGCACTCAGACCCGGATCCGAACCCTGTGTCAGTACAACATCGCTGCATTCGCCCGCGATTTTCCCTCTCTTCTGCTGCGCTTCGCTCGACACAGGTCAGTTTGACTTCCCCTACGCCATACCGTATTGAACCCCCCCCCCCCCCCCCCCCCCCCCCCCCCCCCCCCCCCCCCCCCCCCCCCCCCCCCCCCCCCCCCCCCCCCCCCCCCCCCCCCCCCCCCCCCCCCCCCCCCCCCCCCCCCCCCCCCCCCCCCC